GGGGGGGGGGGGGGGGTTGCTACCGGGGCTGTGTCCGGCTTAAAGTCTTTCAGTTGACGGGCATCTCTTTTACTTCCGTTCAGATCTTGAGATAGAAGTTACACTTGCAGGGGGTGAGGGCGCAGAGGTTTGAAGCTGCACAAGCCATCGGGGCGAACCATTTCTTGCTTATCTGATGTTAGTGGAAAAAAATGATGTATTGATCACTGGTTTTGTATATTAAAGAATTGTTTTAATAGGAATGATAGTAAAATAGATAAAACAAAGATAAGAGATTAAAAGCAATATAATTACTGGTATATTTACAATGTTTGATAGTCGGAAACCACATTTTAAATGGTTTTTTTTCCCCTTTTTTGTTTTTTCCCCTCTCCCTCTTTTTTCCCCTCTTCTTCCTTCTTTCTTTCTTTCTTGCATAAGTCCTTGTCAGATTTATGTTTGTAGATCTTAATTTTCTATATTACTTCTTGTACATACAATGCATGTATATAGCATTTTATAATAAAGATATATACAAAAAAATTATATATTAAAAAAAAAGCAAAAGCCATTGGGGCAGATGACCAGAGCGGAAAAGGAGAGTCCTTGTGGCCTCAGTTCCCTCCAGTGCCTCTACTAAAAATTAAAATCTCCTTGGGCAGATCCCTGACGTTTTCTTGGCGAAGATGGCTTGTCACTGCCTTCTTCCATGATGCTTTTCAATTACTCAGGCTAGGCCAGTGTTTCTTAAAGAGGGGTCTGATTTCCTTGCCAGATATTGAAGATATTTGCAGAAAATTGAAACAATATCACTTTTCTCATTGTTATTTTTCATTTCTTGTAAATACAGGTTTTCTCATGAAAACTTTTGTGTTATTATCGAATGGGTTCGAAATTGCTATTTTTATATGATCCAATAATATTCTATGAATTTTCATTGGTAATATGGTAAATGTAGATAAATATAACCCATATGAACAAAAGCTGTTTTTAAACATAATTTTAATCATTTTAATAATTTAATTTTAATTAATTAATAATTTTAATTATTTAAATAATTAAATAAATTAATAATTTTAATAATTTTAAACATAATTTTTACAAGTGGAGAGGGGTCCTGAGAGCAAAAGGTTTGAGAAACACTGGTCTAGACTAACTGGTAAAGTTGTTGATGGCCTTGCTGGGACTAAGGTTTAGTGGTGGTTGATGGAGGATGATGTGTACCAACACCAACTCTAGCTATGTGTCAGAAAGTGTTACAGGATGCTTCCTAAAAAATCCAAGAGCTTAGTAAGTATTTTTTTTTTCCATTCTGAGCATTTTGTTTAATGTACGAAAACAGGTTAAATGGACACGTCCCTTTGCATAATTCCAAAAGCAGCATATAAATCTTGCCTATTTTTTTATTTAATTTGGAGAAAATAGAAAGCAAGACAGCAAAGAGATCTTATGTATATTATAGGACAATGAAGCCTGATGTAACAATGAATAATAGGCATGAGAACTAGCACTAGCAGTGAAGGCTGGGCTTTTGCAGAAGGGAAATCATAAGTGGTTAAGCCATGTATGAGCTTTGCTTTAGCTGTGCCTAAGCCTATGGAAATAGATTTCTATACAGCAGGGTTCTTCAACCTTGGCAACTTTAAGACGTGTGGACTTCAACTCCCAGAATTCCCCAGCCAGCTTCAATTCTGGGAATTGAAGTCCACACGTCTTAAAGTTGCCAAGGTTGAGGAACCCTGCTATACACCACATTGTATATAATCAGGCTGACAAGAGATGAGCAAGCATGGATCCATTAGAAACCATTCTCATCTCCCAAAATCCTATATACACTTATCTCAGTCCTGTTTGACTTATTTCAGAGTCAATGTGAATGAAACTGCTTGTACCACCCAGGAAATCTGCCAGGGCTTATCTATGGAGCAGGGTCCAGAGGGTGGTTTTCTAAGGGTCATTTCCTATCTGAAGCCCGTTCTCCTTCCTGTAAGTATGTAGGCCCGTACAAAGAGGGGGTCTCTGCTTGATGTTGAGGAGGAAAGGAGTGGCTTTCTGTGCCTCTGCTCACACACTGAATTAAGCCATGCTTTCTTTAACCATAGCAACCCCAACGGACTGGATTCACATAGCACACTAAGCCTTCAAACATGGTTTATAACCACATATTAACTTGGAGACAAGCAATGCTGAATTGCATTACAGAGTAATGTGTTGTGTGAACTAGGTCTCCATGCAACGGGTAAAACTACTCCCAGAAAGATGGGTGTACTCTTATAGTCATAGAAATACTGTAAGTCAGTAAATAATCGAGAAAGCAAGCCAAGGCCAATTGTGACCCCCAACTCTGGCTTTCCCAACTGGGGTTTGCTGGGGTTGCCAGGGTTTTGTGAGCGAGCATGCTGGAAAAAAAGAAACATTGCTTCCTGACCTTGGTGCACCGTGCAATGCTAAAGCTCACCTTGATAAAATTTTTACAAGCTGTGACTCATATGCTGGTCTGCTGCTTTACTGTTGTTGTAAAGGTTCTCAAACTTGGAGTGAGTTAGAAGCGAATTGTATTGTGGACTTATATATTGTGTGATTTTTATGCAAGGGTTCCCTGAGACCTGCAGTTATTTCAAGGGTTCCTCGAGGGTAAAAAGGTTGAAAAAGGCTGTTCTAACCCAAACAGTGGCCCCCGCCCTTCAAAGTGCAGAATCTCCCACCTGCAAATGGGGATGTCAAAAAAGTCAAGATGGCCGTTGTAATATTCATGCACATGCAAAAGGAGTGGAGTTGTGCTCGCACTGCTGTGGTCACCATCTTCACTCACACACACACACCCTTCAGTTGCTGCTGGAGATAATAAAATATCTGGCAGGCCACAATCTCTGATAGATTAGCAGTTGTGCAGGCTTTTGGAAAAGCATCCTCCAGCTTTTCAACATGTAAAAGTCTATTAAAAGCCCTGGAGGCATAATTACAAAACCAATATATAGACTGGCTTCACCAACGGGGCTAAGCCATGATACAGTTTCCTTGCTTGTTTGTGGTTTAGTGCATCTGCACTATGATTCAAAAATCATGGTTTATGGTTTATTGTGTTGCACGAATGGAGCCAGTTGTGGTTTACTCCATAAACCACAATTAAGCAGGCCACAGTTTAACATTTGGTGCATTCTCCATCCTATGGGAAGCCAGATTAAATGGTGCAGAGTGGGATCCTGTGCATCAGGTAACGCCTTGCCAGAACCGAATGTGCCCATCCAGTCAGGTCATCAAGAGAAGGTCTGCTGAAAGTTCCCTTCACTCGTGTGGTTTGTGGGGTGTGAGAGAGATGGCATGAAACAAGTCAATGCTGTTTTATTCGACTGCACATTCAGTCCCTGTGGGTGCTATATTGGAGTTGAGCTTTCCTTTCATATTTATTTTTTTTTAATGTTGATTTAGATTTAGTTGTTACATTTTTTTTTCTTTTTGTTAGATGCTATACATGGCCTGGAGTCCTTTGGGTTTGGGGCAGGTTATCAGTATGGTAAATAAATAAAAGAGCCAGTTTGGTGCAGGGGTGAAGGCACCGGGCTAGAAACCGGGAGAGTGGGAGTTCTAGTCCCGCCTTAGGCACGAAGCCAGCTGGGTGATGTTGGGCCAGTCCCGCTCTCTCAGCCCTCGGAAGGAGGCACGGGCAACCCACTTCTGAAAAACCTTGCCAAGAAAACTGCAGGGGCTTGTGCAGGCAGTCGTCAGGAGTCAAAAACTGACTCGAAGGCACAAACATACTTGCATGCATGCATGCATGCATACATACATACATACATGTTGGGTGGTGTAGTCCAGAACCTGAGCAGATGAGACATAGGCCTGTTGAGGTGTGATGAGGGCCCAGGAAGGGCACGTCTGCTGAGATGGTTACTGGCTTCAAAAGTGGGGGGGGGGGACTGGGTGATCAAACACCACCTTTTTACACGCCTGAGACATACGTCGCTTCGAGAGCAACTGAGATTCCAGTCTCCCTTCTGCATCCTGTATGATGTGCTCTGTGATCATCTCCATAAGCCTAACATTTTTAAAACTGAGATTCCAGTAGTTCAAATACGTGTCTTAGATGTAATTCAGGGTTTTGTTTTTTTCCTGGTTTAATTCTGATTTCATAGAGCCCTTGAAAATCCAGTGAGGTAAATCGTTATATTTATCCTGTGGGGTCCAGCATAGGCCCACCGATTAAAGAGCTGTTGCCTGCTACAATCGTGGAGCAAAAATCTATTTTTAGCCCCAGAGCATTCTGAAACCTTGGCCAGCATTAAGGAATGGATCCTGCCACCAACATGACATCCACGCCTTTCTCGCCTTGCAGCAACATGATCCAAGTATAGTATCCATTTCCTTGCCCCATATCATAATATGTCTGAATACATGGAGGGGGAGGAGGGATAGAGAAAGGGGCAATAGATATACCGGGGGGGGGGGCGGGGGGACCTTTAATGACGGC